AGCCACCAGTAAAGCACTTGGCACTTGGCTAATACTTCCGGGTCTTCAAAGCTCCTGGTACCAAACTGGCTTCAGTCACCGCACAGTGAATGGTGATTCAGAGTCTCAGATTCTAAACATAATCTTGACTTTTGAGACAATCAAAACTGTATTTTGAAAATAGCATTAACTCCTAAAGAAAAGTAAGGTTTGAAAATAGTTCGCTCTAGACCAGGGTTTCTTAACAGTGGCACTACTGATGTTTTGGGCCAGATAATTCTATTTTGTAGAGAGCTGTTCTGCGCATAGTAGGATGGTCAGCAGAATTCCTGGCCTCTATGCACTAGATGTCTCTAGCACCCTTCCAGTCATGACAATTAAAAATGTGTCCACATATTGCTAAATGTTCCCTAGGGAGCAAATTCACCCCTGGTTGAGAAACACTGCTCTAGAATAATAGACTGTGGCCAAATAATAGACCTTGGCTAAATGCAAACATTTTTCATTGCTTGCTTAAAATATACATCATCACATAAAAGATTTCAAGGTTTACATTAGGCTATAAATGCCATTATTATAATACAACATAGCACTTTAGACTTTTAGAGAAGGAATCCTAAGTGTTAGATCTTAATTGGTTATTGTGATTTTATATCCTTCCTATCAAAATCTACAAAACTACATTATTTCAATTCATTTTCTTAAGACTTTAAACTCATTTGGGGCACCTGGCTGGTTCAGTCAGTACAGCCTGACTCTTGATCTTGGGGCTGTAAGTTCAAGTAGAGATTACTTAAAAATAAAATTTAAAAAAAGACTTTAACTCATTTGTTGATATCTAAAACAAAACTTGATGCAAATAAAAATCACTATCTTCCAATCGAGACCGAGTATCCATAAGTGAACCATCAATGAGCATCCATAAGAAATCGGAGGAAAACAATCAAATTGGAAGACATCATAGCCTACTTGGTAATGCACAGACTTAGTTTCTTTTTTAACTAGCTTAACCAGCTGATAAACTAGTTTTTTAAAACCAGTTAAGATTTGAGGCAAGTCACCCACACTTAACTGAAATTTATTTATCTTAGTCTATACAATACAAGGTTTCCGTCCTGGTGCCCTCTTGAATCCTACGTCGACGTGTTGTTTACACCAACTAAAAATTGGGTAGAGGAACACCAGCCACAATGCACATCACTTCCTTTGGCTCAAAAAATGAGAGGAAGAAAACAATGGGATGCCATTGTAGACATACAGTGTTAACAAAAAAGAAAATCACTTTTGGGGTTTTGTTTTTTCAAAAATAATACTCGGTGCCAGCCAAGGTTGTGGGGAAACCAATACACTGTGCTAATGGCAGAAAAGCATAAAGAATCATAAAAATATTCATGCTTTTTGACCCTGCTATCCCATTTCACAGACTGTCTTAAGGAAATAATTCAAAACAGAAAAAACAAAGTTCAATAGGCAAGAAACGGTTCAATAATCTGCTCAATAGATTAAGCAGCCTTACAAATGATAAATATAAAGGATTCATAGTTGGGGCACCTGGCTGGCTCAGTGGGAAGGGCGTGCGACTCTTGATCTCGGGGTCGTGAGTTTGAGCCCCATGTTGGGTGTAGAGATTAAATAAATTTTTTAAAATAAATAAAAATAAAGGATTTGTAGCAACATGGAAATATACTTAGTATATAGTCTTCCCTACAGTCACAATACTCAATATTGAAAGATGACAGCTGTGAAGTCTTATCCTTCTGCTGCGATGACACAGATGAATCCAAATACCAAAGACAATGTGGTGACCACAAGGAAGAGTTTTGGTTGAATGCATAATTATTCTAAATAAGTGCGAAACTCCTCGGCATTTTTAACATGAGTGGATATTGCTAATTTTCAAGTTGCCATTAAAAAAAAAAACCCTCTCAGAAGCATTTGTCTACAGCAAGAAAGAGTAATCAGCAATTAATAACTGTATTTTTGTGTACATCCATATTCTCAAGACTAATGATTTAATTAAGGATGTCTTCCTCAAAAGTGAAACAACATGACCATAAGCAATAAGCCTCACTTCCTGCTGTGAGCCTCAAAATATAATGATGATGAAAAAATAAAAAGTAATTCAACAGGAAAAAAATATATAATGATGAAATGTAAAGAGATGCCATTTAAGGCTCTGTAAGCAGACAGGGCTTCTTTTTTTTTTTTTTTTTTTTAAAGATTTTATTTATTTATTTGAGAGAGAGAGAGAATGAGAGATAGAAAGCACGAAAAGGGAAGAGGGTCAGAGGGAGAAGCAGACTCCCCGCTGAGCAGGGAGCCCGATGTGGGACTTGATCCCGGGACTCCAGGATCATGACCTAAGCCGAAGGCAGTCGCCCAACCAACTGAGCCACCCAGGCGCCCGTAAGCAGACAGGGCTTCTTAAAGAACAGTTCTAGAAAACAGATGCCAAAACCAAAAACACTTCATGGGATGCCTGGGTGGCTCAGTCGGTTGAGTGTCCAACCCTTGATTTTGGCTCAGGTCATGATCTCGGGGTTGTGGGATCAAGTCCCCCCCCCCCAAATTGGGCTCTGCACTCAGTGGGGAGTCTGCTTCTCCCTCTCCCTCCCCCTCTGCCCCCCTTCCCTCCATACTAGGTCTCTCTAAAATAAATAAATACATCGAAGATGGAAAGAAATTTAAATGAGTCAGTCTTGGGAAAGGAAGCACTACACTCACTAGAGTTGGCGTGTTGAGTTGGCAGTGCCAATGGGACAGGCAAATGTTCAGAACCTAACTGCATAGACTTAGGAGCTGTCAGCAGTGAGGAGGTAGATGAAGCCATGGGACTGGATGAGCTCTGAAACGGGGAGGGTACAAAGAGGGGCCTGAAATGCTAAAGACTGAACCTTGTATAAAGGCTAGAGGTAGGTGACAGGAAGAGGAAGGGAGGTACAAGGAGAATGATGCAAATTACATTGAGAGAGTTTCACAGAATAGGTGCTGAGTAGTTAGCTGCAGAAGCCAAGGAGGATGAAGGCTAGGGAAAGGCCATTAGATCTGGCAAGGGATCACTGGGAACCTTCAAGAGTCAGTATTCAGGAGCATCTGGGTGGCTCGGTTGACTAAGTGTCTGCCTTTGACTTGGGTCATGATCTTGGGGTCCTGGGATCGAGCCCCACATCAGGCTCCTTGCTCAGCAGGGCCTACTTCTCTCCCTCCCTCTGCCGCTCCCCTGCTGCTTGTGCGCTCTCACTCTTGCTCTCTCTCAAATAAATAAATAAATAAAATCTTTAAAAAAGAAAACAATCCTAGTATTAAAAAAAAAAGAGTCAGTATTCAGTGGAGTGTGACAGAAGAGACAACAAGTGGTGGAGCCAACCAATGGGAGAAGATTTCTATCAGCAATGTGACCATTCAGCATTCCATCTACTTTCTGAAAGAAGCTGTTGTCATACAAGACTCCCAGAAAAAAGCAACCTGAGTCAAAGTGCTAGGTATTGAAGAAAACAGAAGCCTGAAATTACTGTATGAGACACATCCAACAGCACATCACCCAAATATAAAAGCCAGTCAGTCACTGGGGGAGAAATCCAAAACAAAAGACATGAGGGATGTAGACAAGGTCTACACACAGCAACGTAGAGGAACCTCACCAACAAAACCAAGGAAAAGAAAGCAGACATAAAAGAGTACATCCTGTAGGATTTCATTTATGCACAATTCAAAAACAGGCCAAATTAATCCATGATGCTAGGTGTCAGGGGAGTGGCTGCCTTCGGGGAAGGTGAGTGGAGAGAAGTGGCTTCCAGGGCACTGATCATGTACTATTCATTGCCACCTACACTAGTTACAAAAGTGGGTTCACTTTGCAATAACTCATCGAGCTGTACGTGTATGGTGCATGTTGTGTGCACTTCTCTGTATGCATATTTTAAATACGAAGTTAGAAAAACTGCAAAACACATGAAAAGCCTGGTAAGACTAGGCTGGTGAGACATTCTCAGGCCTTCAGTTTTAAACAGAACATCTGGTGGCTGAGAGATGAGAGGAGTCCAGCATAGTCTTCTGTGTGCTGAGGAGTTAAGACTGGCAGTTTATAGGTAATACAATATTAAACAAGGAGACCCACCAAGATGCCTTGGTTTCTCAGGTAAGGAGACACCAAGACAAGACACTTGTCTTAAGGCTTTGATTTCTGACAAATTTCCACAGTTGATTTTTACGTATCTATTGAACCTGAGAATTAAAATCAGAGACAATACTTGAAATTTGTCCAAGTGATGTAGATAAGTCATATGACTTGAGTGAAAACCAGAACTTAAAAGTGAGGCAAGTAGAGGGGCGCCTGGCTGGCTTGGTTGGTGGAGCATAGGACTCTTGATCTCAGGGTTGTGAGTTCAAGCTCCACGTTGGGTGTAGAGATGACTTAAAAATAAAATCTTAAAAAAAAAATAGTGAGGCGGATAGAATGGAAAGCTGCCTCGCTCATCCTGAAAAGGGTTCCAAGCTCTCCAACTTCCTTATTTCTCTAAGTGGATCATTTTATAAACCACTCCATTTTGCCACCTTTATGGCTTTAAGCATTAATCTAAACAAGAGTTGCCATCACATCTTGAACCCAAATAACAACCCCAAATGAGTAATCCTGAGAAGTCGACATCTTGTCCCTCGCATCTAATTGCTTATATGACTACACATTTACTTAATCTATTTTTGCTAATTTAAAAGTTATTCAAGCCAGTTAATGTTTATGCTTGGAGGCTATTCAAAGGTGATTACACATAACCCTTTCTGTGCTTTGGAACACATCCCTACTGTTTAAAAACATTCACAAGGGACAACCTTGAAGCTAAGTACAAAAGGTCCCTCCAGTTCCCCAGGCTTTGCAATCTTTTATCCCCAAAGCATAAAAATGAACATGATGACTTTGTTCCCTATTCCTTCCATTAATTGTTAATTGATGCTTATTACATTATGGCTATCTCCAAGTCTCTTCAGAGAGTCTGAAATGCATGAAGTAATTCTGTGGTTACCTGTGAGAAGGAAGAAAATCAAGACCATGACCATTGTGTACCCAAAGTACAAAATGCTGCTTGCAATGCCCATGATTTGAAGTTTGGCAAAGAAGTAATGAACTGCATATATGAAAAGGTAAACAGCTGTAAAACTGCTCGTAAAAAAGGCTCTCCACCACCAATGATAATCCTGCAAAAAGAAATAACAAAAACAACTTTTTAGATGAAATCTAACTATAAATGGGTTAGGAATTATTGTCCTAAAATAGGCTTCATTAGATTATGCAGTAAAAGAAATAAAAGAGGAAGTTTTATAAGAAATTCAATGTGGGGGCGCCTGGGTGGCTCAGTTGGTGAAGCAACTGCCTTCGGCTCAGGTCATGATCCTGGAGTCCCGGGATCGAGTCCCACGTCGGGCTCCCTGCTCAGCAGGGAGT